ATCCAAGTTACAAAAAGAGCAAATGCATCACAATCATTATTGTGAAGTAAAAACTTAAAAGATTCTAATTTAGGAATGAGACTTCGACAATTCCACAGTAGAAAAATGATCAAATCCCCGACCTCGTTTGGAAAATTATCCATAGACGGAAATGATTGCGGCAAGGAGGGACCACTTCAATTTCAATTGCTACAAGAGGGTCTTCACATTGCCAAGACTATGCTTTTCAGAGGATCAGAAATATCGAGGTACTTCAGCATACCGTCCACAATGTTATCAAATGAGAACAACCCAGATGAAGAAGGGGCTTCTGTTCTTAAAAATAGGCCATCAGGGGCTTTTGATGTCCCCGGGTGGAAAATCCTGGGTATAGTCAGTCCTGCGGAAACCAGGAGGAGTTGAAAATTCCTTTTTCCCACCACTCCTTTATTTGAGCAATCTGATTTGAGATTTCTGTTCTGCAACTTTCCGCGAACGGATGCGTCTTCGTTTCCGTGAAGTTCCCTCCTCAGCCAAGTCAGCCAGACTCGTCATCTTACAACGGGCAAAGGGATTTTTGTCGTTAGTCGATGGCGTGACTGTCTTAAGCATTTCTGCGAAAGACTGCCTGGAACGTTCCTTAAGAGAGCGTTCTAGTTTCTCCCCGCGTTGTTTGTACGCCAGGCACGACGAGAGATCATAAGGAGTTCCCTTACAGTACGTGCATTTTGGTGCAGTGCCTGTGCAGGCTTCTTTTTTTAATGCTTTATTATAGATTTTTAGCCGTAGGCTAGTTCATCTCTCAACTGTGCAGGCGCCATCCTCGTGCTTCTCCCCGCATTTGGAACAGCGTGCCTGCCTTGCTGCCACAGTGAGAGGCCGTATGTCCCAACTCTTTGCAGTTTTGGCAGTTCATGGAATTCACCCAAGGAACAAACAAGCGCAAAGGTAGCCGAAGTTTTCCCAACTCGATGTAGTGAGGAAAGACTGAACCAGAAAAGGTCACCCGAAACGAGTCTGTCTAAAGCTCTTTTTACCCTCGCTGAAAGATACTGAGCCCAGTTTCTGGACTTCCAGTATCTCAACCGTGGGAAGCAAGGGGTTCTTAAAACGCCTGCTTCACCAAGATCTCAGGGGGTCAGTTTCGCTTCGGTGACCACACCTTCGATCTCCACATTACGAGCTGGGATGTACACTTTAGATGAATAGATGTTAATGCTAGAGTTAATCATGATTGCTTTCATGTCATTGGCCACATCTTGCTGGACCTTATTAATGATTCATTGCAGATTGGACATGTACCACATTTGGAAAGTAATCCTTGGCGGTTCCTATTCAAAAAGATGCTGGAACGATTAAAGCCGAAGAGTTTCGTCCCATCAACATGTTGCACACATTAGAGAAAATGTTAGAACGTGTTGTTAATGGCCAGCTGTTGGACTATTTGAATAGCAACTCTTTGTTGATACCAGAACAATCAAAATATCGGGGAGGTCATTCTTGTGAAACAGCGTTGAATATGGTGTTAGCAAAGTGGAAAGACAACTTGGAACGTAAAGATACACCGGTTCCTGTTTTTTGGATCTGAAACGCGTTTTTGAAACGATGATACAGGGTTAATCATTGCAGAGCAGGCCTGGGTTCAATCCGAGGCATAACAACCGTTGGTCCCCGGTTCATGAGTTGATGGGTCGATAGGTAGGGTCTAAGCGTGGGAGCTGCCTCCCTGGCGTCAGTACCATTGGTGCTCAGCACGGAAAACAAGATCGACGAAAAACAAATAAAGGAGAAAAAAACACTAGCAGAATTTAAGAGACACGTTAAAACTGTATTTTGATCAGTTATCCAGTGATTTTTTTATGAATCGACAAATTATGTATCTTGACGAAATTATTTCTGACGGATTATTGTGTATGGATAGCTGCCATAACGACTTATTAATAATTATTGCAGCACTGTAAAAACTATTTTGTTCGCCACGATGGCGATGATGGGTTTTTAATATTTGATTTAATAGGAGAGATTTAAGTTCTTCCGAACACTGATTATTGTGTTGCAAATTTAACATACTCTATGTCACGAAAAGTTGAGGAATTTTCCAAACCGAAAACCGTTCTTCGATTTATTGTATGCAAACCTTTAATTCACTTCCTGCAAGTCTTTCCTTCGACATTCCAAGGGCTCACAAAACAAGAAACGTTGAGTTTCATTAGCCAGTATGATGTATTTTTTTATTAAAGACCTCGAGATCTCACTGTAATAATAATTTAGTCTAGAAAGTCTACTCAGTTAAGGCTTGGAATACCATATCAATAGTTTTGGTTTCGTTAACAAAACTTCAAATAACCTCTTCGTGCGAGCCGCAGCTCGCCTTCGCAAGCCAGCAACTCGGGAAGGAGAGAATTTCCCTTACCCTAGAAATTATCGCCGATTTCGGTAATGTTTACAGAAATCTCAACAGCTGAACTGTTCGGTAAAATTTAGGCAGTTCAATTGAATTGTTTAAAGCTACAAAAAACTAACACTCCACTACAATGACAATATTTGTTCATTTTAATAAGGTTTGCTTGGAATAGCTTTTGGGTAAAATAGGCTGCTCAAAGGAACACAGAGTTAAGGGGGTATTCCCAATCTTTTGCCTTTTTTCGGCCTGTTTTTCAATTAATTTTTTTTCAAGGAAAATGAATAGTAATGCGCCTAACTCTTTGGGATTCTTGTTTATTGAACATTAAAGTTTACAAATAAATTTTTTTCGACATAAAAAAAGACATTATTGACGTCACAAAATGGCAGCAAACAGACCCCTGTTCGCCGCAAACGCCTGGACGGGCGAAGACTTTTCGCTGGAACGGCTTCATCTGAAACAGATTTCGTGATGAAATTAATAATCTGCATAAGATTCTCTGGAGCTTCTCCCGTTGGCAGCAAAAAATCTTGCAAATTAACAAAATGGCGGCCATATGAAAAAACAGGCGATTTTTAGCCCGCTTTTTTGCAGCTTTAAGGTGCTTCAAACAATGTTAAATGTTAATATTTTTGGCTGAGCTCCAAAGAATTTAATAAGGAACAAAATGCGCAAAGATTCAAGTCAATATCTCTTATAGTTTCTGAGAAAAATCTTCGCCCGATAAAAAAAATGTGGTTTCGAGAAAACGCGTTTAAAGTTTTGACTTTAGTTAAAACCATTTTGGGGGTTCTTACCATTAGTCAGCTATGCCTGGACACCGAATTCGCTGATCGGAAAACGGCTTGGGGGGATGAAAGTATATAGTCTACACACTAATCCAGTCAGTAAGGTTTTACTGGGTTTTTGAAATGCGGAACTGTTCGGTAAAACTTAAAAAATCTGTGGAAAATCCAAAAATTAAGAAATTTATTCCGAACTTGTGGAGACTTAGTTTTGTTAACCCCATTTAATGGTAGAAAATAAAATTTATCGATTTAATTGATTCCTTACGGATAACGGTCATTTGAATTTTTACCGACTTTTTCAGAAATTCAAAAACCCAGTAAAAAAATACTGACTCCTGTAAAAAAAATCTAAGTGTGTAAAGTACAAAAAAACGTGAAAAAAAAATTTGATTTTTTGAAAAAAAAAGATCGGGAATACCCCCTTAAGAGCAATCATAACGTACGTACGTTATCTGTCAGCAAGGGGAACGCAAGTAACCACCAAGCCCGTTAGGGGCCTTTTTTGCAATATAAGGTCGATACGGCTTTGAATTTTTATAGTGGTCTTTATTGAACTTTTTGAATTAGTGGACTTGCTGTTCGCAAAGGGGCCTCCCGTAGCTCAGTCAGTAAAGGCGCAGCTGTAAATCAAAAACAAGCTGAAGGCGACTGAGTTCGATTTCCGGTCGGGTCCAGGAATTTTTCGGGTTGAAAAATTTCTCGACTTGCCACACAATAATGCTAATGCAAAAATGGGTCAAGCTTAGAAAGCTCTCAATTAACAACTGTAGACATGCCTCTATAGAACACTAAGTTTTGAGCACGCAATAAGCTAATATGCGGTAAACAATAAGATTGAAATGCGAAAAAGAATAAGAAGAAGAAGACGTGAACAAAGAAGACGTGAACAAAGAAGATTAAGTTGAGACCCGGCGTAAAGTCCCAGTGGGGACGTAATAAAACCAAAAGAAACAGGACCTATCCACACAAAAAAAAATTCAAAATTGTTCTTTACCTCCTCCTTAATCCTTATCGTATGACACATGCATGCTTTGCAAAATGCAGAATTGATACGAAAAGGAAGAGTATATGGTATGGCATGCATGTGTTCAAATTTACTTGACGTTTGGTCGAAAAACGTGACCACAAAAGTACGATGATATCGAAAGATATGGTTTCCTTCCTCGGACATTCCCCACAGTTAGAACTTCTAAGTTAATGCTAATTCACTTCTTTTCTATTTTGGATACTTATTATAATGTATTCAACAAAATATTCCTCCAAAGTACTAAGCACTTATGTCGCATTGATAGACACTAAGAAGATTACTACCTATTCGAAAACAGTTGAAAAGTCAATGTAACGTGCGTCATACTCATATTCTGGAATTTTAAATGTGAAACATCATTGCTACAACTATAACAAGATGTAGATATGATCATGTGTAAGCATTTATAGAGGATTCGGGGTTAAATATGCAAATATTTGAGTATGATTATGAGTATGATTATGAGTATTTGCGTATGTTGCACTTAGGTTTACTTGTCACATATTTTAAGAAAATTAGGACAACTGTTTTTATTATGATCAAGATTTTTTTCCAAAATTATAACGATATAATAAATTTCAAAAAGCATCACCACATACCCAACCTCACTGAAAGAATTCATGGTTGGAAGAAATCGAAAGACAGCCATACCAAATGTGAAAACAAGACGAAACAGCAGGACGCGCGAAACCCAAACAGTGGTGACAATAATTGGATCAATGAATTCCTGAGCACAGAGAAATTGTCGGGAAAACCGCGAAGCAGGAAATAGTATAAAGGTAGGCGTACAGTGGGTGCTTAGTTTAGTTTGCGTTCAACAACGGTTGTCATCCTTACAGATAATCTAAGGAAACGAAAACCAATCAAACTACGAACTACATTCCAAATCATTGAAAACTAAGTGTCGAAAGTGATTCATTCCATTGTAAATTATAAGTGAATTCTTTTTTTCGGTTTCGGTGAAACGATAAAAACTACCCACATCAAAATGGTCTTCAACTTCAAAGTCTTCAAGAAGTGCTCCCCCAATGGCAAGGTCACGATCTACATGGGAAAACGTGATTTCGTCGATCACGTGTCAGGAGTGGAACCGATTGGTGTGTATCGATTGCAGATAGAAAAGCTAGTTGTAACTTTAAACGGATAAGGAAGCAGTACAATTGAATTAGTGACCTGTGGCAAATTACGCAACTGAAACCTGTAGACTTCTGGTGCGACTAATAGTAAAGGTGTCTAAACAGACTTTCAGGAAGAAACCGAGTTAAAGCGTTTTTTTTTACTAGAGTGGGGAGTCAACTAGAGATTATTTATTTTGTTGCTTTCCAAGTGTTTGGACTTGATGTTATATGATAATAAGTGTTTTGAAAAAGACTATAAAAGCTTATCAAACGCTTGTTCAATGACATTAGGAAATGCAAATTTAGAATAGGTTTCAATGAATATCTTGCAGCATGGGAATCCGTTGAGAAACTGGAATAAGCGATAGCAATCAATAAGACTCAAATTAGGAAACCCGGATCTAAAACATCTTGCCTAAGCATAGTTAAAATAAGCACACGGCCAAAACTAGTGCCTTTCCTCCATTGTTTCCGGTAAACATGTTATAACTCTGTAGTCTGAACAAAACATTACACTAACAGATGCTGCTGCTGATTTGCCTGAATGATTCTTAATCCGCGAGAAATCGACGTTTCAAGTCTTTGTTTATATTTGGCACATAGGTTCTTTTCACATGTTGCTCTAGAATTTTGCAACATTTAATGGAAATCGGAGAAGGTCGCATCTGATCGATTCGTAAGTTGACATGGAAATGCTAATCATAAATTTTTGAAAATTTACACTTGTTGAGTTTTTCCAGATATCTATAGCTTATCATTTCATGATATCAGATTTATTTATTATGATTTATCATGATCATTTTCTACGATTTTTGTGTTAAATGTGAATGTTAAGGAAAGTTTAGTTTTTCAATTCATTCAAATATATTGAACAACTGTTTTTTTTCGGTATTGAAATTTTAAACTTTTTTTTTAACACAATTTGTGATATTTTTTTTTCAGAAAGGTCATATATTTTCCTACAACGTTTTTTCAGACGACATTTTGATTAGAAGAGACTATTTTATGAAAGGATTTATTGAAAAATATCGAGTCAAAATTGCCTAGCACAAGTTTGAATGATTGCAAACAAATATGCAAAGTTTCATGGAAATTTTCCAAGTATTGAATGGCTTTGCTCTGCCTCAGTTGAATCCACGAGGGTGCTAAGCGGCAATTTTTCACTCATACCCTCACAAAAGACGAAAAACACACATATGTCATGGGAACGACAGCTGTAAGATATGCAATACAAACGCAAAATGCGTATGTGTTGTTGTTGTCTGTTATTGCAAAGACAAACAGACGTAACTCTTAGAAAATGTTTTTCTTGAAAACATAGGACATCAGTAACGACATATCTCGGGCTTCTTGTGGAAAACAAGCTTGCTCGCAAACTCGCAAACAATATTGCATAAAAGTTCTATAGAATGTATAGAAACGTCAAAGTGATCCGATGCCAGCGCTGCGGCGAGTAGTTCACGGAACTTATAATATTCAAATCAACCGTTAAATGCGTGAACGAAAATACACAATGAAGTGTCACGTCTGTTTGTCTGTGGTTATGGGCTATACATTTCCATAAATGTGCCATTATAGTTAAGTGGTACTGTCATACTTGTCAAATCCCATAGTGGGAAAATGTTCTGTAACTCCCGTATTTTATTGAAAACCCAGCTGATTCATCAAAACTTCGTTGGTTTCTAAGCATTATTCTTAGTCTTTTGGAATCCGTTACTATTATAACAGGGTGGCAAGCCAACCAGGCAAAGCTAATAATAATGGCGCAAGTTTTAAAAAATCGGATGTTTTTTTTTTAAATTAATATTATATAAATTTTAACACTCTTGGGTCATTTGGGACTTGAACTCGGGGATGAGATTTGAACTCGTGACATTGGCGAAAAAGGTATGAATGTTAACCACTACGCCGGGGACGTCTCCCAGCCAGTACTGAGATTTGTCATTGTCATTTACAGACTGTCACGCCATATTGACAAAAAAAAATTTCACATGGTCACTAACAGACCTGATCTTCAAAAAATTAATTCGTCAATGACACACATTCATCTGCTAACAAAAAGTGTAATTTCGAGCATTCTGTGTCACATTATTGTTATCCAAGCAGGTCTGAACGTAGATGCTTGTTTACTTTAACGGCTTTATGTAATTGTTTTGCTCAAGTAATTCAATTTCGATACAAATTTAGCTAATTAAAAAATCTGTACATGTTCGTCAATGACAGCATTGTCACTGACAATTGACATGGTTTGCCTTGACGATGACTGCTAGCTCAAATGAATAATCAAAGCTGAATTTTGAATATCATCGTGTATTATCGAGATTTTGCAGCACTGCTCCCAGCTAAGTACTTTGTTGATCGCAGAATCGAGCATACCGTACCTAATTGCTGAGTCGTTTTCAAGTTTTTAAGTACATTTATTTTAACAGGTAGAATCAAGCTTTGCTTCCTAGCATTGGACTATGTTAGCTATTTTAAATAATTAAAAAAAAATAGTTTACTTACAGTCCCTAATAATCAGTCAGTTCTGATTTTAAGTGCAGTCATCTGCTCACTCGTTCAGCTACCTTTTAGCATCAAAGCATGGCTATGTTGCTGAAATCAGTATAAATACATTAATACAGAATAACCGAGCAAAATGCTCTGCGCGTTTATTGGCGTCCACATCGTGCAGCGGCGGTAACGCACAATTACCTTGCAAGGTACAATATTCAACAAAGAAACCGTGATACGAAGCTATTTACATAAAAAGATTTATAGCTTAAGGCGTTACCTCCGTGTTAACAATAATTCAGGACCATGAATCTAAATACGATCCAATGATTGAACATTTATGATTTTACTGTACTGCCCATAAAAGCATAACTGTCCCATCTTTGCTGGATTTCCTATTCATATGGGACAGTTATGCTTTTATGGGCAGTGTAGGGGAACGTGGGGTAATATACGCCGATTTTCACTAATTATTGATAAAAAAAATATACATTATATTTCAGTAAATTCATTAGTTTTATAAGATGCATGATGATAATGTAAACATCATATGCAAATATGCATTTATCTCCGAACATGTTTTTACAAAATATATGCTCAAAAGAGCATTTTTATTTTTTACTGCGCATAAGTGTTACGCTTTTGCTTGACGTCATGTAGGTTGCATGCATGTAGGAGTAATCCATGCGTTTATTTTGCAGGAAGTATAAATTTAGCTGGCATTTATAAGGTTCACTTTTTCTATAACTCCGGTTTTACGTAGCTCATAACTGCAATTGAAACTTCAACGGTTGTTTAGGAATTATCTTACACCAAAAAGCACTTCAAATAAACTTTATTTTTTTTTACTTTTTTTATAAAAATATTTACATATAGGGGAAATGGCTCTAATGTTGGCCTATGGATCTAAGATTCGGCCCATCGCTAAAAATCTGCTATTTATCAATTATATCTAGATGAACGCGGTACGGTATGGGACGGTACTAATGGATATTTTGGTTGCTATTGAAAATTTAGTTAATATATTGCAGCAGATTGGTGAATATAATATAGGCTTACCCACATGCTCATGGAATTATGTTGAGCAAACTTCTTTATAGCCAAAACCAGGCATACAAAGGTCAAATAAACTGATATAGAACTTGTTTGTTGCTTGGGTATATTACTACTGATGATTCTTAGCTATACAATTACATCGCTTCATATCGTATGCAAGATACAAACAATACTTAAAACATGCCTAACGACAACATTTTCACCTTTCCAGACGGTATCGTCGTCCTAGATGATGAATACATTCGTGACCACCGCAAGGTCTTTGGGCAGATTATCTGCAGTTTCCGCTACGGTCGCGAAGAAGACGAAGTTATGGGATTGAACTTCCAAAAGGAACTCTACTTGGCCTCTGAACAAATTTACCCACAGCCGGAAAAATCTGGCAAAGAACAGACGAAACTGCAGGACCGTCTACTGAAGAAATTGGGCCCCAATGCGTTCCCCTTTACATTCAACATTTCTCCAAATGCTCCATCCTCGGTCACCCTGCAACAGGGTGAGAAAGATCAAGGTGAACCATGCGGAGTGTCCTACTACGTTAAGATTTTCACCGGTGAGTCGGAGACTGATCGCACTCATCGTCGTAGCACGGTATCCCTCGGAATTCGCAAGATCCAGTTCGCTCCGACCAAGCAAGGTCAGCAACCATGCACGGTGGTGCGTAAGGACTTTATGCTCAGTCCCGGAGAGCTTGAACTAGAGGTCACCTTGGACAAACAGCTGTATCTACATGGCGAAAGAATCGGAGTAAATCTCTGCATCCGTAACAACTCAAACAAGGTGGTCAAAAAGGTAAAGGCTATGATTCAACAAGGAGTGGATGTGGTTCTTTTCCAAAATGGAAGCTATCGCAATACGGTTGCTTCGCTGGAGACTAGCGAAGGATGTCCGATCCAACCGGGATCCAGCCTCCAAAAGGTTATGTACCTAACTCCTCTGTATTCGTCAAACAAACAAAGACGTGGCATTGCTTTGGACGGACAGATCAAGCGCCAAGAGCAGTGCTTAGCCTCGACCACTCTGTAAGTACTTATATAATCCTAACTCGATAGAAAAACGGTATCTTAAAATGCATTATCATGAAACAGATTGGCCCAACCGGATCAACGTGACGCTTTCGGAATCATCGTATCCTATGCCGTTAAAGTGAAGCTCTTCCTTGGAGCACTTGGAGGCGAGCTGTCAGCTGAACTACCCTTCGTTCTGATGTTCCCTAAGGTATAATGGAAGTGAATCTCGTTTAAACGAACATCTACTAAATCATGTTCTACTTATTTTTACAGCCCGGTAGCAAAGCAAAGATGATTCACGCCGACAGTCAAGCTGAGGTGGAGACCTTCCGACAGGATACCATTGACCAGCAACAGTCGGTTGATTTTGACTAAATACTGACTTGACTTGACTGATGCGGATCCGTGCCAATCACAACCGCTTTAGATTACAGCTCCTGCTAGAAGGCAAAAAATACAACCAGAACGCTAACACGAACGAACGATACCTGGAACATTTGATCCTACATTTGAATTGAGCTAATCGCACCACTATTTATTTTTTGCTTGATTTTTCGTTTTCAATTACAAAAGGTAACTTGACAAAGGTCACTTCAATTGTTGTTAAATTACTAAATAAAAGTGATATATTTGAGTAACAATATATTTAAAACAAAATACATCCAAAAATTGTAAAATAAAAAAAAAATTGGAACGATGGCCATCGGAAATCTATAGTTTTATGTGATACTCATCATCACAGAATCCAACCTTGAATCGTAGACCAGGTCCATCAACAATTCACTCGTTCCAAGAAGGGGCTCATGGTACCACTCATCCTGTATAGTCATTTTCTTCTTCTTCAAGTTCGCTCACCACCAGGAATGAACGCTCGGTGCGGTTAGTAATATCAAACAGCGTTACATGCAAACGAAAAAGAGATACAACCAGGATTGGTTTTTTAAAGTAATAGTTTCATCAGAATACCCAACTAAACATATCTCAGTGACATTGTCTCACTCTGAACCTACATTTAAAGTTATTTTGTGATTGTATCAGGCATAACATTTGATAACGGCACAAAAGCATTTGTAAACAAACTTTCTAAGGCCCTTTACACGCGAACCAAAGTACGCCCACGCAAACCAATGCCACTTTCGGAAAGGTGATAGTTGCCCCTATCCGATGATGTTGTTGGTTTGCGTGGGTGTACTTTGGTTCGCGTGTAAAGGGCCTTAGAAAGTTTGTTTACAAATGCTTTTGTGCCGTTATCAAATGTTATACCTGATATGGTTACTTTGGTACTCACATGAAATGTTGTGCATGAACCACAAGTTCAACAACGCCCAGCTATGGACAGCTCAATGTTAATACCATTTACTCTTTGAATCAGCGTACACAGAAATGATAAGATTATCTAAGAACACCTAAGAATGTATAGAGATAAAGCTCAAAAATACAGTTTTAACTGATGGTACTTTATAAACATCAAACTGTTCAATATTGGACCCTGCCAACACACGGCGCCTGCACAGTAATGTGGGCCGTCAGAATGTTTCATCGGTTGCTAAGTGAAGTTCTTCTCAAACTGAAGCGATGCATTTCTCAATTGTTCAATGTTAACTTAATATTATCACCCAGCCCGTCCACGCCCGAAACCCATCCACCACACAAAATCAAATAAAAATGTTTCTGTATGGCAAACACGCCTAGACATAAACGAGAATATAGGTGTATATCTTCACTGTAACAACTACGAACGGGTAATCATCGAAAGTACTTGCATTTTACTCAGGCACTTTTGAGCAAACTGCAATCACTCTCTCATACTCGAAATGTGCCACGACCAAATTGGCACAACGACGCCCTATACGCTATCTGACCAGGGATTATGTTTAGCGCAGGAGTATACTTTTGTGCAAAATGCGCAATACAGATTATCGAAAATAAACGTTATTTAAAAACTTGTTGCATAAGATGTAGATAAGTAGTTTCAGGTTCAGATTTTACTGATGCCCAAAATTCATAGGTTAGTCAGTTTTGTTTAGGGATCTACACGCGAAGCTTTCACTGCGTGCATATTTTATTGATGGTCTTCAAAGAACAGTCCTACATACGTTGACTGATCTCCGTTCAAACTGATGTGACCGCTCCACATCATCTGGAAGAGATTCCACCATGCGAGATGCAATGGTCAAATTCCAGCACATACCTGGTTCATTTGTCCCTACTGAACAATTACAATTGTATTCGAAGTTTTATAGAATTCTGAGATGTACAATATGAAAATCGTTTATTTGTTCGCTATTTCGCGTGCAATGCTCAACTACAGCATTCACGATGATCGGGATTTCTAGAAACACCATAATCAGGAAGTTACCGTGATTTTTTTTTTTTTTTTTTTCGAGAGGTGACCAACTTCAGTCTTAATAGGCTAGCATCTCGGTTGAGCTCTCCATGCGATACACAATACTTTCAGACGACTCGAGCTATGGTGCTCACGAGGTCACTGCAGCTTTTAGGCTCGTATTGTGATCAACTGTGTGTATTAGATTACGACCATAAATCCGGAGAACCCCGAGATCTGGGCGCAATCGCCCCTGCAAACAAACACGCCAACAACCGGTCTCCCGCGAACAAAAGAACAATCCTGTAAACAAACTATACCAAATCATATAGGAAATATTCCTCTACCTGTTTGTGTTACACTAGTTTACAAAACAACATAAAAAGTGTGAACTTTAGTGGTTGACCAACGTTTCTAATTCAAAATCCTACGCTGAATTCAATGCCGTGGTCAGAAAAAATTAAAGTAGAGCCATTTTTGAGATATACAAAAATTTTGATTTTTTGAATTTTGGACAAAAGTACGATTACTAAAATGTCAATATCTTTGGAACTAGTGCACCAATTTTAAATCTTTTTTTTTATGAAAGTGAAGCTAAATAAATTTGCTATCGTTCACTAGAATATTATGTCTTAATTAAAAATTTAATTTTGAAGTCATTTAAAAATTTACAGCATTTTTTTTTTATTTTTCCTGCGAAGGGATCTTGTTTAATCAACATTTTTAATGGGATAAAAGATTCAAAAAATCATTCCATAATTTATTCTTAAAGTCCATTAAAAATTGGAGAAAATGAGCCTTTAATGGATGAAATCGGTTGGAAATTGTCGAAGTTATGAAATTGTTTGTAAAATCATGGAAATTGAATGTTCCAAGATTGGCCGTTGTCCCGCTCCTAGGTTCATGCACCACTTCCAGTAAGCCTTTCTGCGGACGTGTACGCATACGGTGCATTTCACTAACACTACCAGCTGTCACGCAAAATTAAATGGGATATTTTCAACAATATAATTTACGCTAGTGTTTGTGAGACCGCTCGGCGAGAACCTAACGCAACCAACTCAATTTGACAGCTTTCTTTCTTTATCATTGCTTAACGATGTATACGACAAAACGTGAATTCAAGTGTAAAAATGATCCTCTAAAGGTTTGTTACGCGTGTGGCAACTATATATTTACAAAATCGGTCAATTTCACTGCTTCGTTGCAAACTGCATACAGGCTTTATTTTAAAATTGATCCTGGAGACTTTGACGAACCGTGGATTCCAAAAGTATTATGTAGTTCGTGCAAAACGTGCTTGGTTAGGTGGATGTCAGGCGCAAGGTAAATTGATTTTTTGAATAACTTTCATATAAACAATTTATGTACAGCAGTGTAGTGCTTTGTTCTTTCCTGATCGACATTATCTTACTTCATCTATTTTTGATAAGTGTTAATGTCTTACTTACTAACTCACTTATTTGTTATCTGTCAGTCGCTATTTGTCCTTTGACATGCCCACCATATGGCGTCGAACGTTTTGTCATGCAACGGATTGTTATTTCTGCTTGACAAAAGTTAAGCAACAAGGACGTCACAAAACAGTTGAGTATCCAAAAGTGGCTTCTATGACAAAACCTGTTCGACATTCAAGTTCGGTCCCGTATCCTGTTTATCCAAAGCGGAAACGAGCGCCCTCTGTTGAATCGACCGTTACAAAAAGTGAGGAGGAATTCAAGGAGGAATGCGAGGAAGACTTCGAGGTGGAATTGGAAAGAAACCCAAAACTGTTTACACAATCCGAATTTAATGATTTGGTGCGAGATCTCGACTTATCGAAGGAGAAATCCGAATTGCTGGCATCACGCTTGAAAGAACACAACATGCTGAGCAAGGAGGTCAAAATTTCTTGTCACAGGAATCGTCACAAGAAATTTGACAAATATTATTCTACAAAGGACAAGGCATGTTTTTGCCATGACGTAAACGGCTTGTTTGAAGAGTTTGGTGAGCCATATGATCCAGCTGAATGGCGTTTATTCATCGATAGCAGCAAGTTGATCTTGAAAGCCGTTTTACTGCATCAAGGGAATGAGAAACCTTCTATTCCATTAGCTCATGCCGTTAATATGAAGGAAACGTATGAATCAATGGCTCTATTGCTCAATTTGATAAATTACAATCAACACAATTGGAAAATTTGTTCCGATCTTAAAGTGGTTGCCATGTTGACTGGATTGCAACAGGGATACACAAAATATATGTTTTTTGTGTAAATGGGACAGTCGAGCTCGTAAGGAACACTACGTCCGAAAAGATTGGCCAAAACGGGATAATTTCACAATTGGTAAAGACAACGTTAAAAATGATCCTCTTGTGGTACAAGAACGCATAATACTTCCACCACTACATATAAAACTTGGGCTATTCAAAAATTTCGTCAAAGCGTTGCAAAAAGAAGGGCCGGCATTCCAGTACTTGAAATCAGTATTTCCAAATTTATCTGACGAAAAGATAAAGGAAGGTGTATTTGTTGGCCCACAGATTAAAAAACTGCTCAATGATTCCGCATTCAATACAGTTTTGACACCAGATGAGGAAGAAGCGTGGAAATCGTTCCAGCGTGTTGTCACAACCTTTTTAGGAAATTTCAGAAGCCCAGATTATGAGGAAGCCGTCGATGAATTGCTCAAAAATTATGAGAAAATAGGTATAAATCAAAAATATTGTGTTTGTTACATATAATTAATTTCAAATCCTTTTATTTCACTGAACACAGGTGTGAATATGTCTTTGAAGATACATTTCCTACATTCTCACATGGATTTTTTCCCGGAAAATCTTGGTGTCGAGAGTGATGAGCACGACGAACGTTTTCACCAACAAATGAAGATGATGGAACGTCGTTACCAAGGGTTTTGGGATGAAGCAATGATGGGTGACTATTGTTGGTTTCTGATTCGAGAAACAAGTTCAAAACATCGAAGACAAAGTCATTCGATTCTCAATCATTTTTAATAAAACCTAAATAAATTTCTTTTGTATCAACTCGGTTTTAAATCCTGATATGCCTTAATCAAATTGATATGTAGAGAAAAGAATCTCCCATGAAAACTTTACATGCGATTTGGATGCTTACAACGACACCTAGAAAAGGAACTCTAAAGCTGTTGTATTTCAGCAACATTTTTAAGTGTTTTACAAAAATGCTCATAACTTCGACAATTTCCAACCGATTTCATCCATTAAAGGCTCATTTTCTCCGGTTTTTAATGGACTTTAAGAATAAATTATGGAATGATTTTTTGAATCTTTTTATCCCATTAAAAATGTTGATTAAAACAAGATTTTTATGGAAAATTCGCAGGAAAAATTAAGAAAAAGCTGTAAATTTTTAAATGA